GGGAGGCAAACAATTAATGTGTCTCTCACATTGATGTTTCTCTCTCTCTCTCTCTCTCTCTCTCTCTCTCTCTCTCTTTCTCTTTCACTTTCTCTTTCCCTCTTCTCTTCATACCACTCTCTTTAAAAATCAATGGGCCCTAACCGGTTTGGCTCAGTGGATAGAGCGTCGGCCTGTGGACTCAAAGGTCCCAGGTTCGATTGCGGTCAAGGGCATGTACCTTGGGTGCGGGCACATCCCCAGTAGGGAATGTGCAGGAGGCAGCTGATCGATGTTTCTCTCTCATCGATGTTTCTAACTCTCTATCCCTCTCCCTTCCTCTTTGTAAAAAAATCAATAAAATATATTTAAAAATTTAAAAAAATCAATGGAAAAAATATCCTTGGGTGAGGATTAACAAAACAATAAAAATATCACACAGGAATGACTTTTTAAATTTCTTTCTCCATATGTAATATACTTTTTATTTCTGAGGAATTTTAAGGACCTCTTAAACTCTCAACCCAAGTGATTATGGTGAGATGGAAAGAACATTAACTGATAATTAGGACATTGACATTCTAAATTTGGCTCTTCTACATGCACAATTTTGAGCAAGTCCATTCCTCTCTCTGGGCCTGTAAAATTAGGGGGTTGAACTTGATGATCTCAAAGATCCCTCTGGCTCCTAACAGTCTGAGCTTCATGAAGCTTGCAAGTCTGGCTCCCTAAAATTCTGCTTGAGTGAGTGTTTCTGTCTTTGTCCTTGGTGTGATAGACCTGAGGGCCCAGGAGCAGGGGTGGTTGGTGAGCTGACTAAGCTGAGTCTTGTCTTGGTTCTGTCAACTGATGGTTGTTGATGTCAATTCAACACCCAACAGGATTCCCTAATTTGGGGTGCAGTGAAGAAGGAAACTATCCAGTGCAGACAGCTGAACTGTGATACAGTAAGGCTGTGAACAGGGGACAGCTGTGGAGCAGTCCCATCGTGTTACCACTCAGTTATGAAGCAGTACAGTTTGTGGAGCACCATGGCTACCAGGGCCCTCTCTGGCGGGATAGCTCTGCTCTGCTCCTGCCCTGGTCTGCTGAGACATCTTTGGTGTTTCATCTTTAGTGTTTCTGCTTCAGCTCCAGCAAGGAGACCGTCAGTGGTCTTTGGTGGAAAGGGAAAGTGTGGTCCCAGAGCCAAAGGGAAGCTGACTTACATAGACAGAAGTCCTGCCCTTGGTCCCTGATTGGTCCTCATGCAAATGAGGACTCCAAATCCCTGCAGTTTGATTGGCCCCAAAGGCATCACCCTGATTGGTCCATAAATATGCTGATGGAGATACAGCTGCATAGCGCCAATTGGATGGGGAAAGCCCCAGTCCTATTGGTTGAAATAGGATTCCAGGAACTCCTTTATAAAGGCTGGTTCAGTTGACTGTCAGTGCAGGCAGACAGTTCAGGGGGGCAGGCAGGCAGTTTAGTGCAGGTTTTCCCCTGAAGTGTAGTTTTCATGAGAGGTTTGCCTGTGTAGAAATAGCTGCTAGGCTCTGTTTTTTAAACTTGAGCCCAGTTAAGCCACTGAGGGCCCTTCTTAGAGGTATTTTCTTTCTCAGGGTCCACAGTTCCCACTGCTCCTAGAAGACTGAGTAGAGTGTTCTCAGGGGAGGCTCATGACCACAGATGACCAGAAAGTGTGGTCTAGAATTGATAGCAGCATCGATATGTACCTGAGGAACTGACAACCCGCAGTCTGTTGTCACATTAGACCTGCTGATCCTGGGGTGACTAGTCCATGATTTGCAAAAGGAGTTGAAAACAGCAGGATTATTATAAAATGTTTTTATCCTCTAACTTGCTTCCTGTTTTCAGAAGACTCCAAGGTGCCCATCATCCCTTCACCTCAAACAGTGCCCCCCATGGGATCTACCCACCCAGGTTAGTCCAGAGCTCTGAGCTCTTCCTAGTGCTGATATTAACTCTGGCCACCAGAGGGCATTCTTGCAATGTGGAAACCAACAGTTCTCTGTGGCACCTGGATCTCCTCTTTGCCAGAACAACCTGAGTTATTCAACCTAAAGCCATACTCTGCTTAAGAGACTCTCAACCATCCTGGCCGGTGTGGCTCTGTTGGTTGGGTGTCCTTTGTGCACGGAAAGGTTGCTGGTTCGATTCCTGGTCAGGGCACATGCCTGGGTTGCAGGCTTGATCCACTGTGGGGAGCATGCGGGATGCAGCCAATGATGTTACGCTCTCACATCAATGTTTCTCTCTTCTCCCTTCCTCTCTCTCTAAAAATCAAACTATTCTAAAAAAAAAAAAATCTCAACCACAGATGATTTTTTCCCTCACCAGGGGATATTTCACAATGTCTGGAGAAGGCAGGCAAAAAAAAAAATCTCAACCAGAGATGATTTTTTCCCCCACCAGGGGATATTTCACAATGTCTGGAGAAGGCAGGGAGTGTGTGTGGGGGGGGGGGTGCTATTGCTATCTAGGGGCCAGGGACATACTAAACATTCTAGAATGTACAGACAGCCCCTTACAACAGAGAATTTTGCAGCCAACATGTCAATAGTGCTGAGGCTGAGGAGCTCTGCTCTACGTGCATCTGTTGTCTAATATGCAGAGTGCATCGCCTGGACACGGATGTCCTCTGGAACTGGGTTTTCAGTCTCCTAAACTCACCGACCCCAAAGGGCAATTTTAGAATAGTGGCCGTGAAGCACTGCCTGGAATGTGGTGGGTCACGGAAGCCACAAACCACCGGAGAGGAGGAGGGGTAAGGCAGCGGGCACATTGGTTTCCATTATAGAACCCTGTCCCTGGGGCTGGCCTCTCTAAACTGGGCTCAAGCCCCTCTTTCTGGGGCAGACAACGCTAACTCTTTGTCTTCTCAAACTGGGCAGGTTGTTGGAAAAGCCCTGGAGTTGGGCCTATGGCTTTGGGCGGAGGCGAGAAGTAGTTTTCTCTACAGCCCCTGCGGTTGTTATTGGTGGGAGTGGAGTTCTGGGGGTGCTGAAAGGAAAATAATTTCCTGAGGCTCCTATGGGAGGATGGGGTTTCGTGGAAAGCTTTATTGACGATGCAAAATCAAGAGGGTTTCCCTCCGAGGTCCCGTCTCCATCCATCTTGCCACGAAAGAAGTCCAATCTTGTCGTCAGCAGGGGTAGAAGTAAGGCCAAGCCCCAGAACTTCTGCTCCGTATTCAAGTCCAGTCCAGTCCAGCATCTGGCTGGCTTAGCCTGTGTTCCCAGCTGCAGTCCACTGTGTGTGGGGTCCGCCTGGCCATGGGCCATGGGCCATGCAGCTGCTTAAGGCCACATGGAGGGTGCGTGCGGGTCACGTAGCAAGAGAGAAAAGGGAGCGGGGACTCTGGGGATTTTATCCTTCCGTGATTTTGTACGTTTGCAGTGGCTCTACCCTCCTCACGGATGACCTTTTTTCCAGACTAGACGGACAGACAAGCACCTTCCCTACATCACTCCAACTTCGTTGTGCATGTGCCCGTCTCCCCGTTTGTTCAATCCCTTCCTCCAGGGGTCTGCGGGGAATGGACCAGTGGCTTCCTGGGGAGCATGAAGCTGTAGCTTTCATCATGATTGGCTAGTTATTAATATTAATAATAGGAAGAGAGCAATGGGGAGGCCAGGCATTATAAGCATGGTCATCCGGGCAGCTTGACCAGGAAGCTACAGCCTATATCTAGCTTGGAAACCCAGAGTTTGTGTTCCTTGCTTTCCTCAGTCTTCCTGTGGGGTGAGGCCTAACCCTGTCCTACTCTGGGTTTCTCCTTCCCATTCCACTCCTGACAGTGACACTCCTGCCACAAGGAAGGACTGAGAGGTAACAGAAAGCAAAATGTACAGGGATCCTAGGGACAGGGAAGCACCCTTACTCTTTGAGTGAGGGGAAAAAAGATGGACAAAAAGGTCCTCTGTACCTCCTTGGTCTCTGTTCCTCATAATAGAAATAAGTGGAGACAAATCCTGACCCTGTTATTGACAAGCCTGGAGATAGGAGAGCAATAGGGTTCAATCCCCTTGGCATTTCCTTGGTTAAGCAAAAAACCCTAATGTGTCTCCCCTTCCCCAGCCATCCAATGCTTCATCACCTCCTCCCATCACTCTTAGGACCTGGGGCTCAGAGCAGGAGGGACCCTTGCCAACACCCTCCTTCACCCCCAGCCCCTTGGAGCTCTGCTTAGAGACCCACGGCGGGATCTGAGGGTCATTCTGTGAAGAAGCCCTGCTCTGCTGTTGTTCTTTCCTTGAGGCTGGTTGTCTGCATGGCCAGAGGGGCTGCTTTCAGCCTTTCTCTCTGGGACGTGATGGCAGCGGGAGGGAGGAGACTGGTTGGCTTCATTTCCACTTCTGCTCCACGACTGAGGCCTCATCCCAAGCCCCCTCACTCTTCCCATCAGGAATCTTGGGTGCTGTTTAGATCCACACCACCTCAGAGGGAAGCAGAAATGTAAGCCAAAGGGCCAGTTTGCCAAGGGCATTTTATTCATGGTCTGCAGTGGAGTGTTACAGAGTCCCTCCCTACCCCACTTGCTTGGGTCTTGGGGAAATGGAGCTAGAAGGACGGGCCTGCATGCACATCCCAAGGTCACAGAAATCAGAGGGATGGAAAACAAGGAAGTGGAGGGGCAGCAGGGAGACTGGGTAAGGGACTTGGGCCCCAGAGAAGAAAGGAGTTACCCTGATATTCAGGGAACAAATCAATTCCTGATCCCCTTCCCAAGCTAGACCTCTGATTTCCCCCTCATGGGGGTAGGTATGGGGTGCTTCAAATGATGGAAACCTTCTTCTCATCTCCCTCAAAATAAGTTGAGATTCAGAATGTCTCCTTAGGCCCAGCCGGCGTGGCTCAGTGGTTGAGCATTGACCTATGAACCAGGAGGTCACCGTTTGATTCCTGGTCGGGGCACATGCCTGGGTTACGGGCTCAGTCCCCAGTGTGGGGAGTGTAGGAGGCAACCAATTGACGATTCTCTCTCATCATTGATGTGTCTATCTCTCTCTTCCTCTCCCTTCCTCTCTGAAATTAAAAAAAAAAAAAAGAATGTCTCCTTAATCTGATTAGCAATTTAGTGGGATGGAGGGGGCACCCTGCCTCAGTTTGTCCCGTCTCCACATATGCTCCTTCTCTGCAATGCCCCCCACCTCCTCGGATCCAACTCCATCCATTCAAATCCTCCCACAATTTAGACTTATTTCCACCCAGGGAGGTGCAAAGCCAGCAGGGAGGTGGGCCAGAGGAGAGATGGAGTTTGGGGGCCCACGTCACATCTTCCTCCTCAGTTAAGGAGGATCCAAGGGCCACTCTGCTTCAAAATTCTCCAAATTAGGGGACCTAAGACTTTCCTCCCCAGGTTTGGGTCTTTGCATCTCTGCGAAGAAGCCCTCCCAGGGATCCAGGTACCCTTTTTCCCCCATCAGGGGGTGGGGCTTTACCTCCAGCCCCTCTGGCCTAAGGAACAAGAACCTGAGCCTCTCACCAGCCCCCTGGCCCAGCCCAGCCAGCAGGGGAAGCCCCGGGAAACGCCAGGTCGCTGGGGGGCACGTGGGCCCTGAGAGCAGGGTGTCTGTCGTGGGGGACCCTGGAAACTGCTGCTCTGGGAGAAGAGGGGCCAAGAGGGGCCCTGAGGAGAGAGAGAGTGGGAGGGGGGGTGTGAAGGAGGCAAGGCTGGGCCGCTCTTCTGCGAGGCTCCCCAAATGGCAGCAAGGGCTGAGCAGGCAGTGGGTGGAGGCAGAGCCAAGTCCTAGAGAAAGAGAGAACGGGTCACGAGAGGGCCCCCCTTCTCCCATTTCCCATTTCTTTTTCCTCTTGCTGAAACTTTCTCTCCCCCATCCCGTGTGCCTTCCTTTCTTTGCTTCCTGTCTCGTTGTAAATGTCACTTCCTCGGGGAAACCTCCTGAGACCGCCCCAGTCTGGGCAAGAGCCCCGGTCGCTCCTCGTGACCCCCAGTACCTCTCCTGCAGGGCCCTCCGCCCTGTTAGCATCAGGCGGTCATTTGTGTGATTATAGTTCTGTGGGGGCAGGAACGGTCTGTTTTATTTTCCTCTGGATCCAGCCCAACCTGGCACGTATCAAAGGGCTCAATAAAAACGTGTGGAATGAATGAATGAAGATATCCTTTGCCATATACCCAGCGAATCCATTCTTCCCTCTCCCTGTAGCAGGGGGCTCCGGGGTTAGCTGCGTAAGGAACTGGCTGCATGGCCTGACGCTTGTCGTTTAAATTCTCAGGCCTGTTTCTTCATAAAATTTCCTCTCCCAGGTAAGAACAGGCGATGTCATCAGGAAGAAGGGGCCCACAGAGCCAAGGGCCCAGTGCACGCGGGCTGACCCAGTCTTCCTCTTCTCCAGATGGCTCCGGCCCATCACTCTCCTCCTCCAAGAAGCCTTCCCTCCTTCTAGTCCTTCCAAACCTGCCCTCTTTCCCCAGGATCCTACATAGGGGCTCCCAGGCTGGGGTCACTGGGGATGGCTATATAGAACTTCACTTCACTTTGTATATTTCAAAAAAACAAAAACCAAAAACACCTAACACCAGTTCTCCATTTTTCTTAGTAAGGCTATCATTTAACTAGGAGAGCAAGTATCAACCCAATGTGATCACATTGGTGGGGCTATTGCTGATAAACACTGGGAAAACAAATTAGCTATGACAATATAACCGATTTATTTAATAGAAACAATATTTCTGAAGCTGGACCTATGTAAGGGGAAAACAGTAAAAAGTGATCCGTCACCTGGCTGACATGGCTCCGTGGTTGAGCGTCTACCTATGAGCCAGGAGGTTGCTGGTTCGATTCCTGGTCAGGGCACATACCCTGGGTTGCAGGCTTGATTCCCAGTAGGGGGCGTGCAGGAGGCAGCCGGTCAATGATTCTCATCATTGATGTCTCTCTCTCTCACTCTCACTCTCTCTCTCCCTCTCCCTTCATCTCTGAAATCAATTTAAAATATATTTTTAAAAAACTTGATACGAATACCCTTTGTAACACTTTAAGCAATTAAAATAAATAAATAAATAAATAAATCAGTACATAAAAAAAAAAACAACTTGATACGGAGTCACTTCCTTGTAGCCTATCAGTAGAGCAGTGACCTTGGAATAGCCCTTGTAATGGAACACAGAGATTAACCTAGACAAGATTAAAATCAACAGAACTAGATAGAGACAGGATTTTTGGCAAAGGTCAGATAAGAAACAAGGAACTGTAGAACGTTACCCAAAACATACCATGATGTGATTATAGAGGCATGCTTATAGGATCAAATGGTATAAATACAGATGTAATAGGAGAATAAAGAGAGAACCTCGCTATGCTGACCAACTGAAAACAAACAAACAAAACAAAAAAAAAACTTGATACGTCATTAGGAAAATCACCGAGTCCTCTGCCAGAGGACCCTCTCCTGGCCACTGTCCTTTCGCAGGGTCCTTACGTGAGGTGGAGGCTGCTGTTTTGCACCAGGAAGGTGTGTCCCCTGACCTCTGAGGTCAAGGCTGTGTCTCCCCTTGCGGAGCCACAGCAGAATAGGCATGTGGAGGAGATAGTACTGCTTCTCCCCTACCCCTTCCTAGCACCAGTCTTGCACCTTCTGCCTCTGGCTCAATAGTCCTGGAGAGCTTCCTCCCTTGGCTCCGAGTGCTCTCACGAAGGTGGAGGTTAGGGGCTGGCACAGCCTTCTGGAATCACCATCCACAGGTAAGCCATGGGGCTGCTACTGATCTTCTGGTGACCTAAACCTGCTTAGCATCCCTTGGGGCCCAAGCACAAGCAGGTGTGTGTGTGTGTACCTGGGCCAGGGAGGTGCAAAATAGCCCACTCCAATCCAGGGAACCCCTTCCTCCCCCCCTCACAGTTTCCCAAAGAGAGAAGCGCTGTGCCCAAGGCATTCCCAGAGCTGGGGAGAGGTGGCTGGGGTGGAAGAACAGGGAGAGCTGTTCAGGAGCTGTTTAGCTCCAGGCTGCCTGATGAGTCCCAGCAGGCCCTGGGCCGCCCCACGCCCACAACCTCAGCTGCACTCACAGGGGCCCAGAGCCAGGCATCCTGCATTCTCTGAGAGGTGGGACCTCTGCGTCCCCAGCTACACTGGGGGTGGGGCTAAGGCCGAGAATTCTCATTCCAAGAAATCGCCAAGGGATAGAGGGGTGGGTCGTGGGCTTCTGCATAAGAGTCTGTGTCTTTGTGATCTTTTCCACAGAAAATCTGATTTTTGTCACTTCCTACTTTACAGCCCTGTAAGTGCTGGCCTCTGCATACAGTTCTGCCTTCTCCCCCTCGGATCACTATATGCTGCCACATTTGCCTTTTCCTGGTTGCGCCTCCCAATACCAGTCCTGTGCCTACCCCAACCCAAAGTCAACATGAACCCAAGCCGTCTTTGTAAAATGAAGATCTCAACATGCCTCTCCCTCCTGGACCCCCTCCTGCTCCCAGGATAAAGTCAACCCCCTTCGCGTGGCTTCAGAGGACCTCTGTGACTGGACACCTGTTTGCCTTGCTAGCCTCAACTGTCACCTTCCTCCGTGTCCCCACCATCACATAACTCCGCTCTGCTCATGGCAAGCTACCAGCAGTTCTTCCGATTTGCTACCCTCACTCACAGCCTTTTGCTTTACAAATGCTATTCTGTACCCAGGCATCTTTGTCCACCTGCTTCCCCTGGAAGCCCCAACTCCTCTGCATTCCTGTAGCACCTGTGCTTCCCCGAACCTCTGATTTGTCACTGGCTGTATTCCCATCTTTTCTCCCTACTAGTCTCTGAGCATCTTTTAAAAATATATATATATATATTGATTTCAGAGAGGAAGGCAGAGTGAGAGAGAGAAACATCAATGATGAGACAGAATCACTGATCAACTGTCTCCTACATGCCCCCTATTGGGGATCAAGCCCACAGCCCGGGCATGTGCCCTTGACCAGAATCGAACGCAGGACCCTTCAGTTCACAGGCCGATGCTCTACCCACTGAGCCAAACCAGCCAGGGCTCTCTGAGCATCTTGAGGGCCATCTTTCATCTCTGAATCCCCACACCTAGTAAGTAGCTAGTGCTCAAGAAATGTTTGTTGAATGAATAAATGACTTATATTACCCCTTGTCTCAATTAACTGATATTTGGTCTTATCCAAAATATCCACAGAAACATATGGTCATGCCAAAAGGTTCTTGAAATTTCGTCCTGTCCAAAACATCTACTCTTGGAAAATGCCCCTGGGTTCAAACAGCCCAGAGTGTTTATTTCTTACTTTGGGTCTACAGGTTAATACACAAAAAATACTATCAGGTTTTATTGGTCCAATAATAGCGTTGTGGCTGTATTGCCAACAATCTTTCTTGCCTTAGTGCCCAGCTGGTCATGGCACATGGGGTTAGGTAGATCAGTCGGGGTGGACCAAATGTCTCCATGGACATTTTTTTAAAAATATATTTTTATTGATTTCAGAGAGGAAGGGAGAGGGAGAGAGATAGAAACATCAATGATGAGAGGATCATTGATTGGCTGCCTCCTGCATGCCCCGCACTGGGGTTTAAGCCCTCAACCCAGGCATGTGCCCTGACCGGGAATCGAACCATGACCTCCTGGTTCATAGGTCGACACTCAACCTCTGAGCCACGGCCGGCCGGGCTCCATGGACATTTTGGACAGGATCAAATCTCAGGGACCTTTAGGTGTGGGTGTTTTGGACTAAACAAATGTCCTGCTAGGCTTGTCTCATGCTCCCTCACCCATGTGTTCATCCAGGAGGGTACTCCCCTGGGCCCTTCCCAGTCCCAGGCACTCACGGTAGATACGGCTGCTGCTCCCCTTCTTATCCTCAGAGGCCGCTGGTGGCCCTCGGAGGGCCCACTGTCCAGCCAGCTGCTCCACCATGGCCCAGGGGGTGAGCAGCATGCTGTGTAGGAGCTGCGGAGCGAGGAGCAGCAGGTGTGGGGGAGGGATGGGCTCTCCCTGGCACACATTCCCCAGGACTTACTGTTTTAACAACCAGTTGTTAAAACAATGAAATGCTCTCATAATGGTTGTTAAATCACCCCTGCCCACATGCCTTGGACCCTTGCCTGAGACCCCCCCACTTGTTCCCTGTGATGCACCCCTAAAGGCGTGATGCCTAGCACAGGGATATTTTAGAAGATTTAGAGTATCGACCCTGGACACTCAGGGACTAGGATGCAAGGGAAGAAGGACATTGGAAGCTGCTGGGCCCCTGAGGCAGAAAGGAGGGCTGGGGGCCTGCTAGGCAGGAAGATCAGTCTCTGGTGGAGCCCGGGGCTAGGGGCTGCCTTCACGCTTACCTTACTCTGCATGCCCATGGGCACCAGGGTTGGCCGAAACAAGTTGGGGGCTGGCATTGCCCGTACCTCCCACAGAGGACAGTTGACTATGATGAGCTTGCTTAAGTTGAACTTGTAAGTGAACCTTTTGCCTTTGGTCTTGTGCAGGATCTTCTTATTGTAGTAATATCTGGAGATCCCAAGGATGAGAATGGAGAGTTGGCCCAATGGACAAGGAATGTCGTCTGAGACCCAGCCATGTCCCCTCCCCAGGCCAGCAAGGCTAACCCCGAGCTGTTCCTGCATAACCACTCACGGTCATTTCCCAAGCCTTGAAGGGGCAGGAATCGGGTGGAGTGCCAGAAACCACAGCCCTTTTCTTTGAACTCTGCCCTGACTGGCCACTGGAGCTGTCTTCTCTCACCTGAGGGCCCGGCTCAGCTTGTCATAATTCATCTGTGGTTTGCACTTCCTGCGGCCCCAGAGGCGGGCCACCTCGTCTGGATCCTTGATGACAAACTCCCCGTACTCTCCCTGCTGCCAGGCGATGACATGGCGGAACTCTTCCTTCTGCAGCAACTCCAGGATGAAGTGCCACAGCTGGATCTGCCGGGAGCCTGGGGACGACTCGGCTTTGTAGGCCCAGTCAGGGAAGGCCAAGCCTGGGGCAGAGAGGGTGGTGTGAATGCCTCCAGCGCCCCGGTGGACCGTGGGTGGGAGACCTGGCAGAGGCTCACCTGAGATCCAGGAGTTGCCCACAACGGTGGGGACGCCCTCTGCCAAGCAGCTGCGGTGCATGTTCCAGTCTGGAACTGTGTCTGGGCTTTGGGGGAAAGAAGAAGGCAAAGGAGAAGGCAGGGGAGAGGGAGGTGGGAGAGGGCGGGAGGAGGGAGGAAGAGAAGGAAGGAGATAAGAGGGAAGAGATGAGGGGAGAAAAGGGAGACTGAGGCAGGGGAGCAGGGTCTGGGGCAGGAAGCTCCCCCACGCCCCCCTCCTCTGGGGACCTCCTCATTGGCCAGGAGCTGACCCCAAGACGCTGAGTCACTTATATAGATGGAAAGGAAGGCAAAGGGTCCTATATCCTGCCCCCGCTGGAGGATTTAGACAGAGGAGATCTCTTCTCAGGGCTTAATAGGATTGGACTTTTTCCCAAGACCAAATGTAATTAATTAATTATTGGCTCTTTCTAAATCTTGAGTGGGAGGAGATGGCAGACACAGAGAACCGCTACCATCATTGTACTTAGACTAGTTTTACATTTGAGAAGAGCAGGATTTTTGTGTGTGTTTTTTTTCACTGATGAGTCTCAAGTGCCTAAGAAAGTATCTGGCACATCATAGGTGTTCAAGAAATGATTGTTGATACCATCAATGAATGGTACTGAATTGATCAATGGTGCCTCCATGTGATTAACACCTGCCTTCTCCCTCAGCGTGTTAGCTCCATGAGGTCAGGAGCCCCAGCTGTCTTGTTCCCTGCCGGTTCCCTAGAGCCTATCCTAGCCCAGGGCCTTGCACTCCCAGGTGCTCTGTAAATATTTGTTGAATTAATGAACATGAGCAAGGAAGAAGGGAATTCGTTGATTCCCAATTTGGCATGGTGGGTGGGTGGCGGTCAGATGGGGAGGAGATGGTTGAATGAGCCCCAGTGTGATGCAGGCAAAGGGAGGAGAAGAAATGTCTAAGTCCCAAAGCCTTTGGATGGAACTGAGGCTGGTGCAGAAAGGCTGGCACCCTCTGTCACTAGTGGAAGAGGAAACAATGAGCAAGAGGCTGAGGAGGGATGGGAGAGCTTGCCATGGGGATGGCAGGACGCAGCCTGCTCCTGGGGGTGGACCTAGAGGGGTTACCTGGATGGAAGGACCACTTGTAAACAGGGGATGGGTTTACAAGGCCTGGGTGCTGGGTTCCCATCTCTGATACGTGGATGTAAGGTGAGCTTCATTCTCTACTGGAACTTACTAGGTGCAGAGGTCTGGAGGGCATGTGAGTGTTTGGCTGGAGTAGCTGCCTCCCTCTCCAGTCCAGGCTCAGAGAGGGAAAGCAGCTGACACATGGTGTTTAACTGCTATACCCCCACTCCTAATCCACAGCACTCTCTCATTTCTCGTTATTTATTTATTTATTTGTTTGTTTGTTTTGTTAATCCTCACTTAAGGATACTTTTCCATTGATTTTTTAAGAGAGATTGGAAGGGAGGGGGGAGACACAGAGAGAGAGAGAAACATTGATGTGAGAGCAACACATTGACTGGTTGCCTCCTGCGCACCAACTGGGGCCAGGGATGGAGCCTATAACTGAGGTATGTGCCCTTTGACCGGAATCAAACCTGGGACCCTTCAGTCCACTCCATCCACTAAGTCAAACCAATAAGGACTCTTCTCATTTTTCAAAGTGATGCTTCAAGACTTAAAAAAAAAAAAATCTGTAGTAGTGCTACTGAAACTCTAATGTGCATAAGAATCCCCTGAGGATCTCTTTAAGTGCAGATTCTGACTCAGTGGAACTTGGTGGAACCTGAGATTCTGCATTTCTAACAAGCTCCTGGGTGGTGCCCCTGCTGCTGGCCGATGGACCATACTTTGAGTAACAAGAATACATGGGATACAGCAACAAGGAGCTGTGGGTGTTAGAAAGCCAAGGGATCCCAAGCACCACAGGTGTTAAGACCCTTCCTGCTCTCCCCACCCCCACACCAAGAGGCCATGGGGTCTCTTGCTCTCCCTTTCCCAGGGAGGTCAACTGAAAGAATGGAAGCTCATGGTGGGGAGGGGGGCAGGTGCTTCTGGGGTCCCCAGTCTGGCCTGAGCAGAGAACATCTCTGGAAATTAGGGCGATGATTAGGTCAATGCCACTCTGAATTTGGGTGAATAGGTTTTCCATACATCCCTCTCTCTCTAAAATGACAGCTGACATTCTAGAATCCTCTTCTCTCCTTCCTTCCCTCCCCTGAAGCAGATGCCCCTTTCCCCCGTTCATTTCCTGCTCCGCCCTTAGGGAAGCTCCTCCTCTATCTACCCTCTCCTTCCTCACCTTAGAAAAGCGAGTTGGGAAGTGGGCGTTGCAGCAGGGAGCGATTCCAGGGAAAACTCTTCCTTGAGGGAAGCTGATAAAGTTCCTGTGACTGCCCCAGTGCCTGCTGGAGCTGAGGGTATGTCCTGGTCTGGAAGGTTTGAGGCCTTGGCATAGATTTAGGATCTGGCAAGAAGAGATTGATAATCTGCCTCGAAGCAGATACTCAGCGCCCCTGCACTGTGCTGAGGGGCTGACATGCCATAAAGTATCAGACAGGCTGGAGCTCAGAGGGGTGGAGTAACTTCTCTAAGGTCAGGCAACTCCAAGTGAAAAGGTGGAAAGCAAGACCTTAAATCAAGATGGATAATCCGCCATGTAGGTAGCCTACAAACACCCTGTCTTCTGCGCCAAAAGCAAAAGAAAAAACAAAACACCAAAATACAGAATCAAAGTGGGTTAAGCTTCCGCGTTTCTAAGGAATACCTGAATGCCCGCAGCCCCCTCCCTGGCCCGGTGGTGTCTGCGAGTCCCTCCTGGAATCCTAAGTCTCTGAGGAGCTCACCGGTTCTGGGTGTGGAAATACTGACAGCTGGCAAGTCTTGCCAAAGGTCTTCCCCCAAGTCCTTCCTTTTCGAACTGAGCAACCTTGGGTACCCCAGAGAGGAGCAGATTTTAGTTCTGCCTTCTTGCTCAAGAATTATTCTTGGTGTTTAACTTTAATACTTTGTGCTTCCATTTTAACCCATACTCCTGGTGGTGCTCCAAGGCTGAGGAAGGTAGGTAGTCCCACTCTGTCTCACTCCCCATCTCCCAGCTCTCTCCCTCCTGTGCTGTGAGCTAACTGTGCAAAGCTTCTACCAAGCCCTGCATAGCCCCTACAGTCCTATGAGGACACGCATTGAGAACTAGAAGTCAAGAAGGATTATAACCCAATCTTGAATCATCAGAGAGGCCGCACTTAAGCGCCTGGTGTTTCTCGAAGGGTTATAGCAGCGAGCAATCATTATTGTCATCACCATCATTCTGGTTACTGATAATAAGATAAATTCCCTTGGCCAACACAAGTGCATCTTACAACACATGTAGGTTTTAGGTCATTATTTATTAGAAGCAAGAGAGATCATGATGATAACCATAGGGAGTATGCCTTAAACTAGACTTGGAGCCCAAGGAAATGTCAAGAGTAGATTTTACCTTTTTAAGAGTTTAGTTGATATGCATTGGGTCCCTATCATGCAGTCAGCATTGGGTTTGACACTTCTTTGGTCATATGTTACTTCCCCAAGTCTTCACAATAACCCTTTGAGGTGGGTATTGTTATCTCTGTTTTGCAAGCCTAGGAAATCGGGGCTCAGAGGATTACGAGACTTGCATAAGATCCTCGGGCAAGTGGTGGAGCCGGATGGGAACAGGTCTGTCTGACTCTAGGCTCCCAGCTGTTATCTGTCAATCGTGGCAGAAAAGTTGGGGTTGAAACTTGGGAGCAGAGAGAGGAGGCTGGCAGGAGGCCATGGGCGCTGAAGGAGGCACCCAGTGTAAACCTAAGAAGTGGGCTCTTTGCCAGAAAAATGATCGGTGGAGGACCCAGGACGCCAGAGGGCAGTCCGATGGGCAGAGTGGAATACAGAAAGGATGAGAAAGACAGAAACACGGCCGCGGGGGGGGGGGGGGGGGGGGGGAGGAGAGTTCAAGACCAACACTGCATCTCTGCAAAGTAGAAACTTGCATCAAAAGTCATTTTGTTGTGGGGCCTTCGGAGGGGCTGCAGGAGCTGATGGACTGGACACAACCAAGTCTAGAGACTGCTTGATTGATTCAGTGGGAAAACGGGGCTGTTTCTAAACACAAAGGTGGAGGGAAAGAGGCAGAGCAAGAGAATCACCAAGAAAGAGTCAGAGAGAATGCAACAGAGAAACAGAGTTGTGGAAAGGGACTGTGGGCACAGGTGAGATCCAGGTACACAAGTTGGGGGGTTGGGGATCAGAAGGGCGGCAGTGTTAATACAGAGATGCCGGCTGGGGTGTGAGGAGGGGGATTTTATGCTTGTTAGCACGGAGCAAACGGCCATCCCCAAATCCTGGATCTGATTAGAAGCCTCTGGTTTCTCCCCTTGATCTCAGCCCCACGTGGAGAGTGTTCATCCTGAGACCTCCCTTAATGCGATTAGCTAAAGCTGCTTAGGAGGAGAGCAAGGCGGGCTGGGGCCTGGGGAGGGCAGGTCCAATCACTTTCTCACTTGGGGAATTAGGAGGGAGGTGCAGGGATGGATGTCTTCTCTTCACAGAGACCCCAGGCATCTTGTTCCTCCTTCTGCCACAGCCCCCGCACCCAGAGAGCCCAGGCCTAGGGCAGAACAGACTCCTGAATGATGCTCCGTGGCTGGGAATCTAGCCATCTGAACCCCATGTCCCTCCTGCAGCTCTGCCCTTCCAGCCATCGCCCCCCACCTGGGAGAGCCCCCTCCCTCCCTGCCACTCCTCCCCACCCCAGGGTCCAGCCCCCTCCTTCTTACTCCTCGGCCCTGTGCCCCCTCCCAGGCCCCTTCTCACTGCTTTGGTAGCCATCCCGCAGTTACTCTGCCCACCCCCCCTCCTCCCTGCCCCTGCCCAGTGCAGACACCTCCAAGGATAGTCTTTGCAGTCCCCTGGGGCTGTGGGATTTAAAAGGTTTGTGTAACTCAGTGGAGTAGAAATCCAAACCCAGTCGCCCCCGTGGCCCACGCCCAGACCCGTCACTAAGGACAGCTGAAAGTCACTGGGAAAGTACACACCACCTCAGGGATCCAGAGGTTAGGGCATGGGAAATGGGGTGTCAGGAGGCCTCTTCCAGCTCCGCACCCACCCCTTTCTCTGGCCCCTCCA